TATCTAGTGGCAGGCAGGTCACTCAGTTTTCCAGGATCCGCCCCCATGCTTTGCCAGTGCTCCTTGGTCTGTAATCAATAAAAGCTGTGGCCTGGTTTTTATTCCAAAATGTTGTGTGGTGTGTTTTGTGTCTCTCCGCAAGACCTCTTCTTACTAAGCCCTAGGCCTGCAATCTCCAGGAGTTTCCCAGCCAGGAGTTAGCAACCATATATGTAGGGGGAGGTGCCTGACTCTGTTCCTTTCCCCCCATTTCCTGTGCTGCAATGACAATGAATCTCAGGAAACTCTACTGCTAACCAAGCTCAGGAACACAAATGCCCCACCTGCTCATGGTGAATTTTATGATAACTGTTTACTACACATTCATTACAGTGACCTTAAAGAGGCCAGACTACAGAGGACAGAAAAATTCCTTTTATACACAGACCCTTATGCCTCTTTTACTGTGTCTTGTCTATTCATTTCTAACCTGTCTTATTTTCATTGCAATGGGCTGTTTATACATTTTAGTTGAGGGGGGGAAATCCTGTGTGATACCCTCTGAGGTCAAGTCATTGAGCAGGAACTGAGGCCTATTTGAAAGCAACAATTCTGAGTGACACCTTGAACCATAATTTGAGACTGAGAAGGGAGACATTCTGTACATGCTGAAAGGTACAGCCTTGACAATTACTTTGCAGGTTCCGCTGTCCCGATATATAAATTGCACTCTCAGTGCAGGTGCATTCCAACATCCGTTCTGCCAATGCAAGCTTAACTATTTTGTGTATGTGCACGCATCCACCTTGCAGCCCCAAAGCAACATGGAACTGGTTTGTGGGGAAAGGCTGAAGATGATCTCTCCTTAACTGAAGTGATGTGAGAACAGTTAGGTCCAGAGCTATATCAATATTTGAAATTCCCAGAAGAGAGCAAGAAGAACCATGACTTAGATCCAAACAACTATGAATGACAGGAATTCAAAGAAGGAAAATTTGCTGATCTTTTCCCCTGTTCATAAAAAACCTGGAACTGGGGGTGAGCAGTGTAGTGGCCAAGTTTTCAGATGATACCAAATTATTCAGGATGGTGAAAACTGAAGCTGTGTATTGGAACAAAATCTCCCAGCTTTAAGTGCATGCTAATGGGGTGGCTCAAGTGGTTAAGACACTGAACTGCAGGCTGTGGAAGGTCAGTAGTTCAGCGGTTCAAGACCCGGGTGCCGCAAGACAGGGTGAGCTCCTGTCTCTAGTTCCAGCTCCTGCCAACCTAGCAGTTCGAAAGCAAGAAATTGCAAGTAGATAAATAGGGACCACTTCGGTGGGAAGGTAACAGCGTTCCGTGCACCTTGGTGTTTAGTCATGCCGGCCACATGACCACGGAAACGTCTGCGGACAGCGCTGGCTCTTCGGCTTTGAAACGGAGATGAGCACCGCAACCCTAGAGTCGGATTCGACTGGCTTTCGAGCAAGGGAACCTTTACCTTTACCTTTTAATGGGGTCTGAATAGGGTTGTCAGGCTGCAGCCGGCAAGCTCCAAGAAAAATTAGAGGATGAAGGCCGGCACACAGGCATGTTGATGTCACGGCTGGTAAAAACTGGAAGTGATGTAATTAGATGCTCTAGAATTTATAAAATCTCTGTAGTTAGTTAAACAAGAAATGACACCAGGTGTGCACTCCGTTTCCTTTGTTTCCTCCTGCTGCAACAGGCAAAATAGTGGGATGCTGGGAGGGTCTCCTATTATAGTGGGGCACCTGACATCTCTAGGTCAGCTGAGACTGTGAGGGAAGGAGACCTTAGCAGTGAAAAAGACAAAGCCTCTGCTGGGGATTATTAAGAAAGGGGTTGAAAATAAGACAGTTTATGAAGTTTATAAAACTGCACAGAGTAGATAAAGTAGACAGAAAACTTTCTCTCTCTCTCTCCCAAGATAGTAGATATAGTATTTGGGGGCATCCAATGAAACTGATAGGCAGTAGATTCAGGATGGACAAAAGGAAATACTTCTTTACTCAACATGTGATTAAAATGCGGAATTAGCTGTCAGAGGATGTAGTGGCCACAAACAAAGGGGTTAGACCAATCAGCTGCTACTAGCCGTGGTGAGTAAAGGGGACCTTCACATTTGGACACAGTAAACCTCTAGATACCAATGCCAGGAGACATCATTAGGGGAAGGTCTTGGCTCTGTAGAGTAACTGTTTGGTCACTGTGTGAGACAGGATGCCTCTCCTCTGTAGCCCCTCTTTGTGTCTCCTGGCTACTACTACTGTGTGAGACAGGATGCTGAACTAGCTGCACCACTGGTCTGAGCTTGCAGGGTTCTTCTTAGATTCCTCTCCTCTGTAGCCCTTCTTTGTGTCCCCTAGCTACTACAGAGGGCAGAAGACACAGACAATGAGATGAACATGTGTGCTGCATAATGCACCCAGCCCTCTTGTGCAAGCTGTCATGAAAGGAGCAAGCACTTGAGCAAAACAAAGAGGGCGATTGTCTGATTTTCCTCTTCCCACTAATTCTCCTTGCTGTATCCTTTCCATAAAGGCCCTTCTGTTCATAGTTGTTTGGAAGCAAGCCATCACCTTGAGACAGGATAGAACAATGTCTCCCCCACAGGTTGATTCAGGTGGGTAGCAGAACAAAGTTTGAGTCCAGTGGTACCTTTAAGACCAACAAAGTTTTATTCAAGGTATAAGCTTTCGTGTGTTATAACTTTGTTCTTCCCCACAAGTTATAATATGAAAAGTACTGGACTAGTCTCCTCCTCTCTTATTTCTTCAAGGCATTTTGTTGGATCTACTGGAAGTGTTCATAGAAAGTGCCTCTGGAGTAGATCTTTCTCCTCCTTCCCCTTTCCCAAGCTGCCTGCCATTTGTTGCAGTTTTGGGACAAATAGTAGGCTGCTTGAGGATAGAGAAGGTATGAACTCTTCCGGTGGATCCAGTTTTGCTACTGCTATTCATTTCCACATCTTTGGGGGGAAAATGATTGAAACCTTCTGGCACAATGTACTAATGGAAATTCACTGCAAAGGGGTAAGTAATGTCAAAATAAAATAAAAATTGAGTGGCACCTTAAGACTAACAATCAGGGATCATTTCCTGCAGGAGTGCACAGGAGCGGAGCTCCGGCAGTAAAGAGCCCAGGGGGCGGGGCACATGTAACAAGCCCCACCCCCTGCTCCCAGCAGCTCTCAGTCAGAGCAAGAAGCAGCCAGGTAAGTTGCAGAACTCCCCCTGGCTCCCTCCAAAACAGACCAGGGGCACCCTTAAGACCAAGTTTTATTCAGGTACAAGCTCTCCCTCCTCTGTGAGGACAGATCTGCACGTTCCCCTCCCCCCTGCAATAGCTAGTAATCCAAAACAGTCCAGTGGAGCCTGAGCGGTGGGTGTTGCCTTCTGACACACTTCCGGTGATGTCAGGAGGTGTGGCATATGTAAATAAGTTATGCTAATGAGTTATGCTAATGAGCTCCTGCACCTCTTTTTCTACGAAATGATCCCTGCTAACAACATTTATCTCAATATGCATTTTTGTAAGTCACAGATAGACATATGATGGAAAAACCATACTGGGGCAGGTTGATGAGGGAAGAGTCAAGGCTTGGTGTGAATTACCCTATGAGTCCCTCTGTGACCCATGAAGGCTCATATTGAAATAAATGTTGTTAGTCTCTAAGTTGCCATTAGATTTTGTTTTATTTAAAATAAGTTTAGCAAGATTTTTTTAAAAAAAAGCAACTCCCCACAACTCAGTCCCACATGACTGTTCATTCTACAGAGTCTGTTTAAAAAGTCAACCATGCAAGAAGATAAATGGATGGGGAAATTTGCCACAACTGATCCATGATTGTATTAATAATCTAGCCTCTTGCTAAACGGGACATCAGGGAAAGCAATCATTATTTGCTACTAGATTTCAATAAGACCAGAAACTTAAATATTATTTTTATTTCTACTAGGCAAGCTTCTGGACCTATAAAACTGTGGCTTATGGGAATTCCTCCCAGCAATATGGTTTCAATCATACCCAGCACGATACACAAGTCAGAAATGTACTGTCTCTAAATCCAGTTTTCACTTTTAAAATATTATCTACAATGGGAAGACAGACAATACACTGTTCCACCGTCTCCTCTTGATATCTATGATCCCTGTCCACAATGGAATACTGTGGAGTATTAGGTTCAGAATGTACATAGCTTCAGAGCAGAATCTGGCCACAAAAATTCAGTGTGGGAAATATTTTAGGAAAATGACTTCTTAATATACAACACAATTTATTTCTGAAGGGCTATTAAGCACTGCCATGCCACTCCGCTGAAAGTATCTATTGATTCCTCTGTCATATTTTTTTTTTTACTGTATTTATGAGACTCTGATGATGAGTCCTTGGCTTCATTTCATGGATGCAATGTTAGGTTACAGTCCTAAAATTACTCATGCGTACATCCCATTCAAGACACTGGGACTGAACTGTGTGTAACTGTTGGTAGATTTACATCCTGAATTTGGGAAGTACCCTTTAGAAGTTTTGTTCATTGAGCAATATTTGTGTAATGATGAAACAGTTGGTGGGCTGACACCTAGAGTGAAGGTGGCTTCTGTTGTGGATGAGCAAATCTGACAACAGAGTTGATTGGCAAGAGCTGCACACTGACAACATACTATGTTGTCCCCCCCCACACACATGGAGACACTCTGCTCGCCAGAGCAGGCAGTGTTTGAGGCATGCAGAAACCTCAACCACACACCTGTAGGATTTCAGAGAGAAATCATTTCTTTTTCTAAAACATGGACAAAAATCAATATAAAATTTAAATAAATAACACTTAGATTCTGCCTTGGGGAAGCAGTGATCCAAGCTTTCACCTTCACCAGCACCAGCCTGGAGACTCACACCCTTCATTTCCACTACTGTTTCTTGTCTGTGGATGTTGAGGAAGGGACGAGCGGCTCCTGGGCCCCACAGGCAGGTTCCACGCTAGACTGTCTCTCAGGTCAGACACTGTCTGTGTGTCATTGGAGGAGGCCTGAGCTGTAGCTGAATCCATAACTGCTAGACAGTGAGAGGCGCTGCTCATGCTCCTCGCTCTGCTCCGAGGTGTAGCTGGGAAATGTCTGTGCACGAGACACCTTTGTTGAGCCAAGACTGTGACCTGGAACGAAGGGGAAGAAAAATAAATTTACATAATCTCCAGAGAGTAAAAACCAAAAAAAACCCCAAAATATGTTCTGAGAAGGGGTGACATACCAAAAAGACTCACTTCAAATTTAAAATATTATGATATGCATAAAAGTGGGAACTGTCAAAACTGTATATCTTGTATGACCTGTAAGAGCGGCTCTGTTTCTGTAAGAGTAAGATTACATCTATAAAATTACATGATCTATAAGATTACATACTATAAAATGTGCCACCATGCATTTTTGTACACAATACTGAAAACTAAGCACAGGGTTATGAAAGGAAGAAAATGCGAGCAATTGTGGTGTCGCATTAAAATTCTTTCTGCTAAGATCAGTAGTAGTAAGTTCCAGCCTTGGCTTTGCAAACCTATCACTTGGATCTTGGAATAAAACACAGCTATAGGATTGGGTGCAATTTCTTCTTGTCTGTGCAGATATGGAGCAGAGACCCTTTGAATGTGGAAGGATCAGCATACTGATAAGATACAGTAGTATAATATTAGTACTGAGTTTTAACTCAACCCAGGAGTTCAGTTCCATAGAATTACCAGCTCTTGAATGATCACTGTGGGATCTGTAAACATCTTGTAAAGGTAGCGGAGAATGCTGCATGCCTGGCAACCTTGGAAAAAGCCATACCTGACCAGTGCTGCTTAAATCACAGCAAAATATACAAAGGGAAAATTTTCAAGAAACAGTTGTGAGAAGCAACAGCAAGAAAGGAAAAGTAATGTCACCAAGCAATGAAGCCACAGACTGCATTTCCGGGGCAATGTCATTTCCTCCACTCAATTGACCAAACTGCATGAAAAAAGAGAATGCATTCTTCACATAGAGCTTTATAGTTTACTGACTAGGTTATATTAATATTAGCTTTTGAAACTTTGAGTGAGCTGTCAAGGCTTTAATGTCTTTTGTCTTCAAGAAGTTTTTGCATTAAATTGTATTACAGGTGGGTGATAAACTGTACAGACAATGTGCTTTTCTCCCTCTGAGCTGGAGGACATCTGATTGTGGGTGATTCCCACCCTCCTTTCAGGGAGGCAGGACTTCCAAGAACTTCCTGTTTCCTGTGTGGGAGTCACCCTCATCCTCAGTTCTTTTCCTGCCTCAAGAGGGAGAGCAGCGTTTTTAGGCTTTGCCAAACCTTGCTTTCATCTTTCCCTTTCTTTTCCTTGCACTAACCTCTCTTTCTTCCCCTTTTTTCCCTTCAGGTTTTTTTCTCCCTGGATTCTCTACTTCACTCCCACACAGGAAACAGGAAGTTCTTGGAAGTCCTGCCTCCCTGAAAGGAGGGTGGGAATCACCCACAATCAGATGTCCTCCAGTCCTCAGAGGAGAAGGACCTCTCACGGTGAGTACCAAAGGTCGTTTTGTATCCTGTTTGCTGATGAGAAAGTGAGGCATAATGCTCCCAAGAGACTTCATTTCGTAAACTTATAATAAACTGAAGGTTTACATCAGACTGCCCAATTAACTCACAATGCAATTCTATACAGTTATTCCAGCATAAGCCCATTAACATTGAAATCAATGGGCTTAGACTAAAATAACTCCCTGTAAGATTGCATTGTTAATGAGGGCTTCTTTGGAAGAAGTCATCTGGACTTTGCTTTTGTGCTTGGAACATCAGATACATCAATGTCCTTTCAAAACTGTAAACCATGTCCCCATCGTACTCTGAGGCTTCAACAGAGGAGTCTTTTAAGGTTTCCCAGTGGGCTCTTAATGCAGCCATTTTATTTGGTCTGTGAAAATTCAAAAGGGGGAAAAAAGCAGTGATTGTTCCTTTGCTTCTCCTGGTCACAGAGACAAATTAGTGCATATATTCAAGACCTCACCAGTCATTTCTACTAATCACAGACCATGCCTATGATGCTAAACTATAATATCAAGTTTAATAAAAAGTTATATAGTACCTCCTAAATTCTTCAAAACAGAAAGATGTCCAACAGATCCTACCATTAGCACAGTCAGAAACTGAGCTGTGTTATTTGATTGGACCTTTAAAGAAGCCAAATTCTGTTTGGAGGAAATCCATATTCTGTCCTCAGACTCATGTAAGTACGTGAGCACATTGTTATAGAAACTGTGTGAATTATTTTACTTTCAAAATTGGCAATGGAAAAAAGGAGAAAAGCCAAATACTGACATGATAGAAGAGGGAGGTAGGGAATAAAAGGACCAGGTCTTTCTCTCCCCCCCAATAGTGGGAGACCTCTTCCTGCTATTACCTGGTGCAGCAGCAGGATAAATTTTCCAAGAAAAAGTGCCATTGTGATAATGCCACATCATTTCCTGCTGCATAACTGGATATGATGTCACACATCACCACAGCATTCTACCAGTCCCCCATATCGCTATGATTTTAAGCCAAGTTCTTCCCCCAAGGCACCCAGGGGTTGTCAGCCCTTGGCTAGCAACCCTAGGAAGGAAGGAGAGTGACAGCAAGGAGGAGCAGAATAATAGGGGCAGGGGATTGTTATAATTAATTTGTACATAATTTGCTTTCTCTGTATTTGATGTATGTACTTCTTTATGGTTAGAAGTTGTGTGTGAACTCACTCAATTGAAAAGCATTATGTTCAAGATTAAGAGAGTTTGTGGTGTTATATGTGATGGTCTTTTTAACCACATGGGTTGAAAAGGGAAGGAAGGACCAAACTGGCCTGGACTTACCATGCTAGCATTGTCCTGTCTGGAGGCATCAGACACAGCAGAACCCATCCCTACAGTTGTAAAATGGCAGGTGGGATTGTGGAGTCCTTCAAGGCTTGGTTGCCTCATGGAAAACTCCTATGAATGATAGGCCACGTAGACCCATAGGAAATAATGGTCTCATTGTTTCCTATGGGTAAGTCTGGTTTAATGTCTAGGAGATTTTGATGAAGTAGCCAAACCTTGCAGGACCTCAGGAGCCCATCAGCTGGCTGGCCGACCGGCCCAATCCTTAGTGGCTGCAGGGGCAGAATCTGCTGCTTCCGATGCCAGAGGAAGAGGAAAGCCTTCAGTTGGGATGATAGTCTGCATAGTCACTCTGGGCCCATTCAAGTCCTTTCTTGCCTTTTAAAATTTAAAGAGACATGAGGGTGACACCGGGTCAACTCAACCCTCTCAGCTGTTAGTCAACACCTCTTAAAAGACCATTATGTTCTATGGGAAATGGATTTGTAAAATTTAAAGGGAAGAGGGATGCTAACATCACAATAAATAATTTAGATGGACTCAAAATTCCATGTTCACCACCCCATCCCAAAATGGTAGTGATAATCTTGAAAAATCAAGCTAATGGTACCAGTGCCCTCCCTGAATTCTGGGTCTGAAACTAATATGGATTTTCAAAAAGTGCATACCTCTAATGTCTTGTTCTATCAAACTGACCGTAACACAATCCAGGTAACTGCAGGAATCAATGAACATTCAGGCAATGAACCCCTGAATAAATCCTCCCTCCGTCCCTCCCTCATCACCATCACCACCACCACCACCACCTATCCACCCTTTGTACATCTAGGGAATATGAGGCTGATTATCCCCCAGGGCAGCCTTTGAATTTATGGTGCAGAACTCCAATACACTGATCCTACTTTATTACTTCTTATGTTCTTACATGTGGATTGCAGATAGGAGGGATTTTACTGCTGTCAATACCGCCAAGACTTCTGTGCTTCCTTGTTCCTAAGGCTGCTTACTCCCCTGCAGTATCCTTAAAGAGTTCATCCTTTGCTGGTTCCCCCATCCCATTGCTTCAGATTACTGCAGACTATGGGAGGACAGGCAGAATGAGGATGAGGTAAGCAATCAAATGGGGTGTGTGTGCTTAACGCCTCAACTGTAGCTCTAGCTCTACAATGATGCCAGCACTACCAGTATTTCTGAGTCTTCTAGAAGTTAGGCTGGCAAATTCAAACAGTGTTGGTTCATGCTAGAAAGCTACTGACTTTTATATAGTGGTGGTAGGAAAAGCACTGCTTTAGTTGCCTAGGCAACAGGGAAGTGGTCCTTCAGTACTGGGGCAATAAACATTCCCTGAGGCAACAACAACTGCTGGTCCACTGTGGTCCAGCTGAATCCACCATGAATGACATGTTGTTTGGTGCACACACACTTTTGTCCCAGGCCTTTGGTCAAATAAGTTTTGCAAGCTTTTGAAGCAATGCAAAAACTTGCAAAGACTGTTTATCTGAGGGGAAAGTAGGTTTAGTTGCATACAATCCCTCTTTCAAATCCTTTGACCATCATCAATTTCCCTTCATGCTGAGGTTTCTCTCACCAGTTTAGCAATAAACCTTCTGTACTACAACCTAACCACAGACAGCTGGCAATTATTTTGAGCAAATGTTAATTCCCAGTATAGAATTTTCACTTCAGCCAGCCGAGCCATTTATTAATAATGTATGTGATGTTCTTTACAACAGAGAATGCTACATATGCTTGATTCATGAGTCTGTGTGAAAGGTCATACCTTGTCAATAATTTTAAATTATTTGGAAAAAGAATTCTGATTCCAAATTAGAGCAACGGTTTGCAGCCTGAAACTGGGAGGCAAACCTTGTACCTTCCATGGCAGTATTTTTCATTTTATTTTTGTCATATAAAACACCAGACAAAACAGGGAAGTATGCCTCAGTTATATTGGCTATTACAGCATAAAAAAAATAAAGTATTAATTGGGCCTTGAGGAATTGTATATAATAGATAAACATTAATTGTGAATGGTTCTTACAGTTCAATTCTTTGCATGTTTATTCAGAGGTAGGCTAAGTTCAACAGAGTTTACTCCCAAACAGGTAGCCAACTATATATACAGTTGTAGGTTATAAAGAGAACCAGTATCACCTTTATAATCCTTCTGATTATAAATGTATACTGATAAACAGAAAATCAACATGGAATGGTCATATATTATGTAGCCAGTGGGGTGGTTAGAATGTTGGACTAGGATCTGGGAGTCCCAGGTTCCAAATCC